AATAACTCTCAAATCTCCAATTTAGATTGTTTATAGGATATAGTGAACTTTAGTCACAAAGAAGTTTGGAGATATTTATCCTATTTAGTGCTGTAAAGGTGATATTATGGTTTACATCTTTCTTCAACCAATGCATATAAATTTGGTGTCTTAGGACTTTATAGTAAATTGGTACAAGCAAACTTCAACCCTCCAAATGAAGAAAATAAGAACAAGGAAAAAAATTCAGGTTTTTAGTCCACCTGCAAGACTGCAAAACACTGGAACTACAGGGGTCTAACTGTAATTGGCCGATAACTTGTATGGATTACTCCATCCTATGTATATGAATTTGGTCCCTTGAGACTTTCTAGCAAATTGGCACAAGCAAACTTCAAACCCCAAAACAAAGAAAATAAGAACAGGGGAAAATTCAGGTTGTCTACCATAAATGAGGAGCAACCTATTCTGAAGACTGCATTAACCTGAATCCAGCTGGAGGCTAAACAATAAAATTGTTGCTTGCAAGCATTGCCTACAGTTACAAAATGGAAACTCCAAAAATTCTGCTTAAGGAAATATTTTTTTTCAATAAATTTCCTTCTGACAATTTGAGTGATAAAGTAGTAGATTATTATAAGGGTCCTTTCACTTAAGCCCCTGAGCTTTTAGGTGTCTTACCCTTACCCCCTCCCTCCTACACCCCACACACGCGCGCACCCCCACCCAAAAATATGTTTTCTTAGACCCCAGCAATAGGAATTGACAAAAAGGCGCTTTTACAAAAGGGTACTTTTTCATAAATTGAGGGGCGTTTTCTTTCTTTTACAGATAGAACGTGCTTGGCACGTGAGCCATCAAAATTGATGGCGTTACTTGGGGTAAATGAGAAAATTTAAGGGTTTAAGTGAAATAAACAAAGCTCGGGGTTGATAACAGAAATCAACCCTTAATATACACCTAGACTGCATATATCCTCTTCATAAATCCTCCATTCATTTTTTTTTCACTATTTGTTCACCTGCCATTTTTGCTAAAAATTTGAACCACACAAGCTTTGCAAACAAAGGATGAGAAAAAAGATTTATTTCTGTTGTAAATTTACTAGTAGTTACAACTACATGTATCAACTAAGGGCCAACAATAAATCCTGTAAAAGGATAATATAGGCATATGATCATGCGATAACTATACCATAATACTGTTCTTCCTTTTACGCTGACCTGTCTTTGTAGTCTCACCAACCATCCTCGTTTATCTGTATTAGAAAAAATAAAGGTAAGTATCTATATAGTTAAACCTGGTTTCATATGTGAAACAAATTATACATAAATCAAAATCACAAATAAACACAGTGACACACATTTAAAGCATGAACAACACCAAAATTATTATAAAGTAGCAGTAATAATAAAGTAATTTAACGTCAAAAAGCTATCAATAAAGTAATACATCTTGAAGATAATAATAAAAGATCTAATCATCACAAAAACAAAGTAAAGACAGAAAAATGAACGGATGATTGACTTCATGGCAGAGAAATTTTCTAGGCGGAGAAACTAACCAAGAGGGAGGGAGGCGACGTTTCACTTTTTTTTCCCAATTGTATTCTTTCCAATGTGTGGGATAATTTGAAAGAGGAGAACTTATGGTTATATATATAGGTAGTATAATTTGTGGGATAATTATGACCAATTATCCCAATTCTAATTCTAGAATTCAACTTGACTAACGCACCAAAAAAATAATACAGTTCTAGTTCTACAAAAGTTCTACTTGACTAACACTATAAAAAAATATCTCATTTCCTAGTTCTATGTGACTAACACCTTAAAAATTTATCCCATAAATTATCCCAGTTCCAGTTTTAAGTTCTAGATGACTGACCCCAGCAATAGGAAATGACAAAAAGGCGCTTTTACAAAAGGGTACTTTTTCATAAATTGAGGGGCATTTTCTTTTGTAAGTGAGAAAATTTAAGGGTTTAAGTGAAATAAACAAAGCTTGGGGTTGATAACAGAAATCAACCCTTAATATACAACTAGACTGCATATATCCTCTTCATAAATTCTCCATTCAATTTTTTTTCACTATTTGTTCACCTGCCACTTTTGCTAAAAATTTGAACCACACAAGCTTTGCAAACAAAGGAGGAGTAAAAAGATTTATTTCTGTTGTAAATTTACTAGTAGTTACAACTCCATATATCAACTAAGGGCCAACAATAAATCCTGTAAAATGCAGGATTTTTTTTCCCTTTGATCTGTCTACATGAAAACAAATCCTAAGCGGTTACTGATGTTTCAATTGAGACTTTGCCAGAATATTGTCTCTCCTCTGATTTCTTTGCTTCCTCCCATAGCTCAGGCAATGCTTCCTTGATATTGTGAATGCTCTCTAATGCATAGTCAGCTCCTTTGATTCTGTTGGAGGTCCCAACCTGTATCCGAAATCAAATTCAGATATTATGATCATGTACTATTCTCCATAACATAAATGCCCCCAAAAAAAAGAACATATAACGAAAGGGCTCTTCTATTGATCAAAGGACATAAAAGATCTTAAGTCCCTTCACCTACACCAAAACTTCAAGTTGAAGTGAGAGTGGAGGATTATTTCTGTATACTCAAAGGTTCCTGCATGTCAAGCATATTTTTTATGGCAGAAAACTGGAATATTTTACATGACGGTACTCTCTTTTTTTTTTTACAATCCACAGTTTAAAATGTGTTCGATAGGATTTGAACATGGATTACTCCAATTCCATCTTAGTCCTGTTCACCAAAAGATAGAACTTGGGATGAGGGTTGTGGGTTTTTTTTTCCTTAACAAAGGACAAATTACTAGTTCTTATATGTTGACGTAGAAGTTTCTCAAAGAAAATGTCAATGCATATAAGGCGTTGTATCCCAAATTTGACAATCTTAACTCATAGAGACCATGGTCATAGAGAATTACCAGCACTGTATGAAGACCAATGTGTTTGCCAGCCACAATGTTCCTGATGCTGTCATCAAAGAAAATCTGCCACAAAAATATTTGACCAGGACATAGTTACATATTGCAGAGAATAGTAGCAAATGTCGGTAGAAACAGTTATTATTGAAGAAATGGACACTAACAGTTCTCTGAGGGTCAATGTTAGCAATCTTCAGAGCTTGAATCATAGCATCCTCAGATGGTTTGCAAAGAATTGGGGATCTGGGCAGTTCCACATTAGCATCATCCTTCGACAAATGCGCAATAATATCAAAAATTTCATTTTCGGAATTTGCCTCATTAGGACTTGATGGATCTTCCAGTGGATTCAAAGTCTCAAAGCATATAATCCCTTCAAAGCAATCTTCAATCCCCATCCTACTAAGAACCCTAGCAGCATGCAACTTATCGCCATTCGTAAATATCTGTAGTCGATCAAATCAGTTGATAATGGTTCATAATACCAAAACAAAAATCAACTAAAGTCACAATGTCGACTAAAACTTACAACTTTACGAATTGGCAGGCTAAGTAAAAGTTGCCTAAGAACAAGATCGGATTTTAGCTTGTCATATGGCAATCTCCCATGAACAAAACTGTGGTACTCATCATAATCAAATTTGTAGCCAATAGCCTGTGGATCAAATAATAAAACTTTTCTTAGAAAAACTTGTATGAAAAAAAAAATCAAATGCAATATTATTTAACCAATAAAGAAAAGTAGTATACCCTTAAGCCAGCCATTGTTGTTCCATAGTGCTTGTATAATAAGTTAGACACCTCAGATATCTTGCTCTTTTCTATCCCAAGCTTCTCAAGCATATATTCTATCATAAAAATTACACAAGTTTAGATCAAATTCTACTCAAATTCTACTCATAACAAACGTAACTAAAACAACATTAAGTTATGATTCAATCTCGTACCTTCAATATTCATGGTGCAGTGAGCAGATATGCCAGAACTGAAGGGATATAAGGTGTCATCAAGATCTATATAAATGTCAAAGGAAAAAGAGCAAAACTCAATTAAAACTCCCAGACTTAAAATTTACAAAATATTATCAAAGTTGATGAGTTCAAACACTTACCAAACAGAAGGCAATCAAATTTACCGCCATGCGCGTGATCCATTTCGACGTTAGTACAACCTTGATGAAACAACAAACAGAATCTCAGAATTGAAATATAATAACAACAGAAAGAAAGGTGAAATTTTGACAACATGGGTTCTCCTAAAAATCCTGTATCTCCTCATTGGTGATAAAAAGAAATGAACTTTATTGGCATTAACACAACATCTTAAGAACCCAGATGAAATTTTCTGCATTATGAGAAGAAAAAGATCTAGAAATGCTTCACAAAATCTATGTCCGTGTCCATCAAAATCAACAAATCCGAGCCAGTTCAGACCCCAAAACTTACTCAAATTCAATTCTAAGGACAATGCAGAAGAGATCAAGAGAGGAAGGGGCAAAAAGATTAGGGTTTGCTTCAAAGAAAACTGTAGGCAGAGAGAGAAGAGGGAGGAACAAAGGAGGGCAATGGGTTGGCTTAAATAGGCGAACATTGCCGGTGCCAAAGGTGATTATTAACCATTTTTAATGGCGTAATCAGTTTGAATATTTGTTAATTGGGACTAAACTTAATTAAAAATTGATTAATTAACACGAGGTTGACGGTATTCGTACGCATCTTTGGCTGTCCAAATGTTATTTGCTTTCTGGACAATCTTTCAAAAAAAACCATTACATTTAATTTATTTGCAGATTCCTAAGATGACTTATTGGTATATCCTGAGAATATTTGTTACAAGTTCCGTTAATCATGGTCTCATACAGGAATCATGCAGTAAAAACTTCGTGAATTTTTTGTAAGATTGTTTCATACTATCATGTAATTTTTAGAGAATCAGGATAAAATCTTCAAATAATTTATTAACTGAATAAAATAGACACAAAGTGCACATGAAGGGAAATAAAGAAAAGAGAAATAAGTTCGTAAAAAAAGTAAGATAAGGATAAAAAGGTGACTAAGCTAAATGTACAAGGCCCCGTTTGGCAAAGGGTTAATAAAGAAGGGTTAAAGAGAAGGATTAATGTACTTAGCCTATTTGATAATCCGAATGACTAAATTATTAACCCGTTAAATAAGTTTTATTTTAGTACTTATGATCAGTTTTAGTGTTTGGGAATAACAATGATTTTGACTATTTTCTTTATAATTAGAAGGGTTAACTCTTATTCCATCTAAATAGGAGTATTAGTAAACCCCTTATTTTGAGGGGTTAACTCATTTTAACCCCTCTAGATATGTTAACTTAACCCTTCTATATTTTTTATGTTTGGCAAATTATGGAGGGTTAACTCACTTTAACTCTTATATAGATTTGTTGTGTTTGGCAGGTTAAGAAGGAGTTAAGTCTCATTAACCCATCACTTAACCCTTTGCCAAACGGTACCTATAAGGGAGTAAACTTTTTACTGCATCTCTGAGCTTGTTTCGAATCACTTCCTCATTCTATTCATTCCGAATGTAATAGTAATAACCAAGCACAGCATAAACCCGTTGATTAAAAAGATGTAATCAGATGTTATGAGGTTAAGAATCTTAAAATGGTAAAGTAGATAACATAAATGAAACTGAAATAGAGGAATCATATTATCTTGGAGATATTTTTTTTAAAAAATTGCTATTTCGCTGGTCAGTATAATTCAAAGGTTATTGTATTGTGTGCAAATTATGTATTTGAACAAAGACTCCCATTCTAGAGGATTTGGCTGTTGGGTCTGGTCACCGTCCATGCATGTGAACGGGAAGCATCACGGAGATATCGAGAAGCTTCCGATTTTACTCAAAGGTGGGAACTCGTGAAGGTGACGCCCGAGAACCCGCGGAGCCGGCTTTGCACGTGATAAGCGAGACAGCGCAGGTCAAATATCATTAATGCCTCAGGGACCAAACAATGGACCTAAGGCATCTGATAGGTGAGGTATCACTATCCGGTTGCATGATGTACTATTCATAAACAATTCATCATGCAACCGGATGGTGACACCTCACATGTCTCATGCATTGGGTCCATTTATTTGGGTTCTTGTAGCAACACCCGTCAAATATATATTTTTGGGTTAATTTCACATGACACTCCTCAACTTTGGGGCGCTTCAAAAAAAAACCCTAAATTTTACCTTACCTTGCTTAACTCTCATATATGTAATTTGTAAATACCTAAAAGATTTTTGAGATTCCAATCTTTGTCGTCGCTTGTTATTTACAAGAAACATACCTCGTTTCCTAACTTTTAAATAAAATTTCTCTTAGGAAACTTTTAGTTGTTTGTGAGTTATATTTTGTTTGGGAGGGGTTTTGAGAGAAGTTCGAAGTTCAGAGGAGTGTTTTGTGAGATATCCAAAACGTTAAGGGGTTGTGTAAAGTAAAACAAAGTTTAATGAGGTTACGTGTGACACTCCCCAAAGTTTAGGGGTGTTTTGTGAAATTAAGCCTTTTTAATAGCTAAAATTGGTCAAATAAGTTCGAAAGATTAAGACCAGACAGTACAATCGATGATATAATCAAGTGCGAATCAAGCGAAAATGGTTCTTTTGATGATTATTATTAAGGAACTTACAAGTTGTTAGCCTAGCGATAGGCAAGCTGGTCCCTAAACAGGCTCTTGTCCGTTGGAAAGAGTTAGAAATCTGAAAGCGATACTCGGGGGTGTTTAGTTACATTTTTATAAATTATAGAAAATGTTTTCCATCCAAAATTTGATTTCCTTGTATTTCTTAAAAAAATTATAGGAAAAGTTTTGAGAAGTTAAAAAGTATAAATTTTCTTATTTTTTGTATTGTGCTTGTTTGGTTCAAAACAAGAAAATTACTCATAACTTTTGGGAAAATAGCAACATTTCCTATAATTTATAGAAATGTAACCAAACACCCCCAACTTTATAGAAAAGTGAGAACTTTATAGAAAAGTGTTAATGAGTTTTATTATTTAAATAATGAATGCGTCAGATTACCAAGAGATTTCCGCCCATTTTAGAAGGAAATTAATTTCTATAAATTTTGGTACTTTTCTATACTTTACAGAAAATATTTCTGTAAATCTTTTTTGAGCCAAACACAGTTTGTGAAAATCTATAGAAAACTCTTAATTACAGAAATACCATTGTTTGTATTTTTTGAAAAAACATTTCTCAAAAACAATGCAACCAAACACCCCCTTAGCCACCGGCCTCAAGAAGATTAGGCCCATCTCCAATGTAGGGTGGGGACATTTGCAGTTAAAAAGACCAAATAAAAAAAAATAAGGAGGACTAAAATCAGATATTAACTAAGTTCCTTTTAACGGTCGTATATTTTGTGGTGTCAAAATATAAATGTAATAATACATTTCCTTTTCAACATGCACCTTAGGCTTGGAGAACAAATTGTTGACTTATTAGCAATGGCAGAGGCAGGGTGGCCAGGGATGGCAATGTCGCGCTGACTTTTTAAAAAAAAAATCCATATATAGGCATATGTGTTTTTATCAATAGTCCTTTAAAATATTTTATATTTGAAGTTAATCCTTCAATCTTCATATTTGAAACAAATTCCCAAATCTTTCATATTAGAAATTAGTCCCTCGGATCTTATATCTTCTAATTAGTCCCTCAGAGCGTTGAAGTTTTGAAATTACTCCCTTTGTTACATTTATCGTTCAAATTGTTAACCACGACTGCATGGTGGGTGATAGTTAATTATCAAATCAACCAAAATCAACTATACAACCCACCAAAATCAGGATCAAAATTAGTGGATTTAGCTCTGATATAATCTTTTCCCAACGTGTGCTCTAGTAAAAACTTTCGACGGTGCCAAAGGGGAATAACAATTCATATACATGCACACATCTTCTATGATTGTATTTTAGCCCCCGGGAACAAAATCCTTGCTCCATAGTAGCGTATTAGAGCATCTCCAACAGCTTCCCCATTCTATTGGTATTCTCACTTTTGGAGAATTTTGGACTTTTTTTTTCCAACAGATTCTCCATTCCATTTCCCAAAATAGGGATGGAGGAAAAAGAAAGGAGATCCTTCCCCAAATCTACAGCGTTCTTTAAATTTTTGGGGAGAGCTTTGTCATAAATGTTTCACGTTCTTTAAGTCTTCAACTACTCAAAAAACGACTCAACACTATAAAATGAGGGGGTAAAAAACAAAAAGTTCATGTCTAAATCTTTATTGTTAAAGTTCATGTCAAAGATGTAGAATACTTTTATTATTGTAATAAATACAGAATTCTTCAAAATGGAGAAGCCGATGAAGTTGGAGTAAAAATAATTTAAAAAATATGACTTTTGTTTTCTCATTTTAAAGAAAATTTTGAGGAAGCCGTTAGAGATGCTCTAAGAGATCCGCTGACTCAAAACTTTAGGCAGAAGCTGTTATTGTTATGAATAAAATAAGAGTGACACTACAGGCACACCCCCAATCACACATTGGGTCACACTCTCTCTCTCAGCTACAGTGCACAGGGCCCACTTTAGATTTTTTAAAAAAATCTAAAGTGGGCCCCACTTTAGATTTTTTAAAAAAATCTAAAGTGGGCCCTGTGCACTGTAGCTGAGAGAGGGGGTGTGACCCAAGGTGTGGTTGGAGGTGTGCCCGTAATGTTTTCCATAAAATAATTTCATGATGCACGTGGCAGGGTGGTAATTGAGTATGAATTAAAAAGGGCTTATATAATTATAGCCATGTAAGTCCATGAATCGTGGCACGATTTTGTACTCTGAAACTTGTACGATCAATAATGAAGCTAGAGACACTAGTACATTATCTTGGGTTGATGGATTAATAAGTGTGACACAATGCTAGTTGTCGCAATAATATCAATAATTAAATTGAAGGTGAAGGTGCTGATATTTCTTCCCATAATGATGATATGTCATCCCCCCATCCCACCCTCTCCTGTTTAATTTTCCTTTTTTTTTGGGGGTTGATTTCGCTTTATCTAGGTAAAATTAAACAGGACCAAATTACGCTAATCAACATCATATTCTCAACAAAAGATTACGTTTATTATCCAAATCAAATTGGACCAATGACGTGTGAGCTTAGCTCAAATAGTTTTTTATTGGGGAAAAAAATTATGTATTTAAAATTTATCATTTTTTTAGCGCACTGAAGAAATTTCTATATATAAAAATCCACCAACGTATTGGGATAATAATAACCGGAATACGTGTCTTATGTTACTTTCATGATACGTACAAGAAACAAAAGTACAAATCCCCTTCTGAATTGTTATCAAAGCTATCAGTTATCAAGAACTCTACACTTTGATTTCTTGTAGTACAAGAAATAGTCTGAGCTTTGTAGTTCGTCGTATGCTTTTTCTTCGTTTACGCAGCAAGTCAGAATCCAAGGTGTATACCCTTCTCAGAGGAGCTTTTTCTTCATTTATGAGTGTCGGGCTTTTATTGAGATTTTTTATTCATTTTTTTTATATTTTATTAGGATATTAAAATTGTAAGTTTTAAAAAGGATTACATATGTGATGATGACAAGCAGACAACAAGCTGCGCCGCTAATCCTTTCTGAATTGTAAAACTCAACCTACAAAATACGTACTCAGCGGATCCTGCTGTCCTCACATTCTATATTTTCTTTCTTGTACTCTTTCTTTCGCTTTAATTATTTAATGTTATGAGTTTGTTGACAACCTCCCAGCAGCTCCCATCTGGCAATGATAAGATGTAATGACAGTGAATGCTTTTTGCCAAACCATCAAGTTTTGTTTTTTTATATAGTCAAGATACGAAACCCGTGCACCGCACTAAAGTTTTCTCTAATCATAACAACTTCCGTATTAATGAAAGGGAAAAGAAAACTTAGATAAAAAGGCATGCATGATCATCGTGGGGTAACTAGACACATGTGGTGGCAATTATCGATCTGCGGATCTCTTCGTCCGCCATGACACAATTCAGCAAACTAATTCTTTCAATAACAAAAGAAAATCCAAATTTATAATACATGAATTGAGAACTCGCCTGTTGAGTGAGTACTTGTATTCCCCTCAAAAGCTCCCTTTCATTGCTTGATCTGATTATTATTTTGTTCAAATCTCGATGGCGGTCGTCCAATAATCTTACACACAGTCTGCAAGCAACTTTCTTTTAGGAAACCGCGTCAAACTTGAAACAGCAATTGACATAAAGCAACAGCAGGCACAAAATACCCTACACAAGACTGGAAATTTACAGCACCTGAGAACAATAGCTAGCTATCAGGACCTGCATGTAAAAATTGGTTCACGTTGAACTTGCAAAAGACTCGTTTCATCGGAGTTATTTATGTGGGGATGTTTCCATCACTTAGTTTTAACTTAATTTCCGACACAAAAACTGTCGGCGGAGAAAGCAATTCAAGTTACAGACAGTGAACGTCTTCCCCTAGATGCAGGTACCGATTCTTTTTGTACAATTTAACTTATCACTAACCCTAAAAATGCAATAATCATCTTACACACAACATTCACGAGGGGGGAAAGCTTCTATACATCACTGCGAAACGCTAAGCAGGAACAACTTCTTCCCCCGAAGGAGGTGATGGTTCCTTTGGATTCTCTGCTTCTTTCTCTTCTGCTTCTTCAACAAATCCTTGAACATATCTATCATAATTCGAAGGCTCGCTAGATTTGAAGGGTCTCTCGCCTAAAACACGAATCAGATCTTCCTGATGCAATACTTCCTTCTCCAGTAAAAGCTCGGCGATCTGAGCGATGTGAACTTTGTGCTCGGTTACTAATTGCACTGTTTTTTCATATGCTTTGTTTACCCATTCTCGAACTTCTGCATCAATAATGTCGCCAGTTTTGCTGCTGTAGGGTTTGCTATTTCCAAAAAAATTCTGAAGCCATAGATTGCGACTTGAGCGTAGGTCATTTTAGTCACCTTTTCCAAGTCGTTTTGTGCTCCAGTTGAGATTTTGCCCAATAACACCTGAACAGAGGTGAAAAGTTATTATCGTAATTAGCTATACTAAATATGAGTTTGAGCTTCGCTACAATTAATAGTATCCAATATGTGGATATACAGTTTGGATTAAAAACTGAACATATGTAGCACTGGGTGCGCTATGCCTATACTATACATCAAATACCTAGAAATAAAATTTTGAAAGATTTACATGTTCTGCACATGTATCATATGTATGAAAAACAATGTTTGCATTTTCGTAAAGTTACTCTTCTGCCCCTTGATATCCTGTGTTTTTTAATAAACAGTTGCCACCCCCAGTATGTGATGCTTTTCAAATCAAAAGATAGGAGTCTGATTCATAAGCTTCCATGAGACTTTCAGTGATAAAAACACAACGAAATGAAAATTTTTGTTTCTAGGTAGTACATGTGTATACAACACATCCAATGGCGAGAATGTTCAATTTGAAAATTTAAATTTTAGATTTAAATGAACAGTGTCCACATCTTACATACTACTAGTACTAATAGTAACCAAGCTCAACTCCTAAAATATTATAAGATTTGTCGGCACACAGGTTATTGGCTTTTTAGAGCTTTTCCTATATTGAAAAGATAACAAACAAACATAAGTCATTGTCACACATAAGTTTCACTGTATATTGCCTGCAGAGTGAAGACTAACCAGACTGCATTCAATAGGACTAACAAGCTAGGAAGAATACCCCTGAACTACATGCCAGATTTTCGGTTTCTTTGATATAAGGTATCCTATTGCAAAAGAATCCATTACACCTTTACATCTATCTGCTATAAGTCACCCTACTGGCTTGATCAACTAAACAAATATTATTTCCAAGAGCAATAACAGATCAACAAGCATACATATATATTTCATATTTTGCGCATAAACTGGTCATTTCCAACCATCAGAGTAGTTCGTTATACTGCTAATAGTGCCAATCACAATTGACATTTTCTAAACAACCAAGCTATTGCATTCTCAGGCATATTACTAAAACTAAACAGAACCTACCAAACCAAGATGTTGGTTCAAACCTCAAGTTGTATTGTAAATATTTATTTTGACATTATACACGGATTGAAATGCCAAAACATGCCTAAATCAAAGCTGCATAGAACCTGGATTTCTGGAGCGTGGTACACCACTTATTTGGAATCGAGTACAAGAGGGTTAGGCTCATATGGTACGCTAGGGAGCGTGATACGCTTTAGGTTCAGTTTTTAAATGTAGGAATCGGAGTGCCTTGATGTACAATATTCTACAATAGTCAAATTCAAGGATCAATAATGGTAAAAGAATATTCAAGTTGCAATTAGAGTACGCTTTTTGTTGTTTATTTTTCTGAAAACGGTTGTTTTTCTTTCAAAACACCAAGTAATCTGAATTCTTAATTGGGTTGCTTGGTACATGACCCAATTCGCTAGTGTACCGCATTCCAGACAATAGAGCCCACGTCTTGGTTGGCTATAGCGTTCCACGTTCGTGACATCTATAGCCTAAATCATTTGGTTGAATCATGGGGAAAAAAATTAGAAATTTAATATCTCCCAAGATACTCCTGTGTTTCATGATAAAAATAGGCAGAGAGGATCAATTTACCTGTTCAGAAGCACGACCACCCAAAGTCATGCATGTTATGTCAAAGAGCTGCTCTTTGGTCATTAAGAGGTTTTCATTGGGAACATATTGTGCAAATCCCAAGGCTGCAGTTCCACGAGGAACAATTGTAACCTTAAGAAGGGGGTCAGCATGCTCCAAAAACCATCCGGCCACAGCATGACCTGCCTCATGATAAGCAACAGTACGGCGTTCCAACTTGCTGATTACCTGCTCACATAAAAATGATTTCAGAAATAGACACATAATGTGACAATGTCAAGAAGCTAACAAAGTATAAATAAATAAATAGAAGAGACGAGCATAAAACAAACTGCTGAATAATTCAATTTCTTAAAGAGGCTGACAATTTAATTAATCAGCAATACGCGTCAGAAGTTCAAATTTGACTCAGCAATCGCATAGTAAGTTAAATTTGACTCAGCAATAGCATAGTAAGTTAAACAGGTATTTAACTGGACAAGCAACTCCAAAAGTACATGACAAGAAAAGAAATAATAAGAACAAATCATGGCCCATGGCTCTTTATTTCACCACACTTACTGTGTTCTACATATTAAGCAAAAGTAGTAGTCTTGTTAAGGAACAAGCAAACCATCCATTAGTCATGTCAAGGGACCAAGCATCCATCCCTTACAGATGTAAGGATGCCTCTTGCTCTATCTGATCCAGAGAAACTTTTGCAGTTGATAACAAAGCATGCCATGATATATTACCGGGAGCAGTTAGCCCCAAACATTACAACTCCCTGTCCAATCACCCACTACCACCAAAGACCAAGGAAATGAACAAAGTTACACAAGTAGTAGCATGTGCAAACACACCAGCATACACAGAAATGGTGTTGATGGTAAGATAAAAGATTGAATTTTTATAAGAAAATATTCCACTGACTTGTAAGAATTGATTCTGAAAGCTTGATCTTATAGTAGAGTTTTGGTATTCAAAAACCCCTATTACATACACAAGTTAGATAGGAAATGATGGAACAAATGACTGCACCTTTGTTCATCGTTTAATAACTTATCTTTCATCAGGAAAAATATAAATGGTAGAATAAATTGGGGGTCGTTTTATATACATATATTCAAATCAATGGGTAATGTATCATTAGCAGTAACATATTTTTGATATAAGCAGAAATGCTAAATAACACTAACATAATATTGTTTCTTTTTGGTAGTCCAGAAAGAGAATGAGAGTCAATAGTGAACAATATCACTACAATAGAAAAACAAGCACTTAATGATAAATGAAACAAAAAATAGAACAACTGTAAAACCATGTAAGGAACCAATGCAGAAGAAAGTGAGGATGTTACTCTAGTCAAGTAGCATAATAGAAATATGACAAGTTAATCGAAAAAAAAGACAACTACCTTGTTTTTCTTCTCCAAACCGCCAATTACCCTATCAATAGCAGACTCAAAATGTTGCATAGTAACTGTTGTTTTCTCATTTCTTGCAGCAATCAGAGCAGCTTCATTACACACATTGGCAATCTCAGCTCCAGCAAATCCAGGAGTGAGGGCAGCTAGCCTTTGTGAATAAAATGATGGTTCATTATCTAACTTTATCTTTTTAAGATAAATGCGGAATATCTCTTCCCGGCCTTTTATATCAGGTCTATCAATTGAAATCTGGCGGTCAAAGCGACCAGGTCTTAACAAAGCTTTGTCTAATATATCACTCCTGTTGGTGCCTGCAAGTACCACCACCCCAGCAGTGGTCCCAAATCCATCCATCTCCACTAACAATTGATTCAGAGTGCTTTCACGTTCATCATTGGAACCAGAGAAACCTCGACCTCTTGCTTTACCAATGGCATCAATTTCATCAATGAAAATTATGCTAGGAGCACATTGCCTGGCTTCTGTAAATAGGTTTCTCACCCGGGAAGGACCAACACCAACAAACATTTCCATAAAGTCAGAACCAGATATTGACAAAAACGGCACCCCAGATTCACCAGCAGTTGCTTTTGCAAGAAGTGTCTTCCCTGTGCCAGGAGGGCCAACGAGAAGAGCACCTTTAGGAATTTTCGCTCCCAGTTCTTCGTACTTCTTTGGATTTTTAAGAAAGTGCACAAACTCCATAATTTCTTGTTTAGCTTCATCACAGCCAGCAACATCTTTAAAATATACCTGAAATACAATTATATATGGAGATATTGAACGGTGAATATTTTGAATGCCCATTTTTGAGTAACCATATTATGAATGCCATGTAACCATCGAATAAATAGAAACTGCTCAGAAACTAATTTCAATGAATAGCTGCCATAATACTCAGAATGTTACAGTTTCCCATAGAGTGGAGGGGTGAAACACGTTTCTATATTTATTTATTTTAATAAAAAAAGTTTAGCATGGTCAATAGCAGCAGCAAGAGATAATCATATGGAATAGAGATGTGAGAAGAAGTGAATACAAACCTTATTTTTGGAGTTCTTGTCCAACTTTGTCACATGAGCTTTTCCAATGTTAAAAATCCCACGACTTCCCCTTCCTGCACCACCGCCTATGTTAAGGCCACCTTGCATTCTTTTCCCAAGTGCATATAATAGACCAAAAAGTATCAAGGTGGGGGCATAGTTCATTAGCTCCTTGTACCAAATTATTTCATTGACGTATGTCACAGGTACATAGTCATGAGGATCTATATTCAACACCTCCTGAGCTTCCTCTAACTTTTCTTCAAATGATTCTACACTTCCAATATTGAAATAATACCGATACTGACTAGTAGTTGGGCCAGGAACATTTGTAGTGGTTCTATCAATATCAGTTTCCTGGGTCTGGCTGTTAGTTTTTGGGGAGCTCCTGACATATACTTTAGCAACTGATTTATTAGAGACAACAATGCGATCAACCAAACCCGGTTCCAGTAACTTGTTCTTGAACTCTTGAAAACTAATCTGTAAAAAAAATTCAAATCATTCAGTATGAAATAAGTGAAATATATTTCTTAAAGCACAAACTAGATAGAGATACAGACAGAGATACAGATGGAGAGAAGTGTTTTTCTTTTCTGTTTTCTTCTTTTTTTGTTTTTGTTTTGGGTTTTTTTTTTTTTTTTTTTTTTTTGGGGGGGGGGGGGGGGGGGGGGGGAGGGTGTTAAACGTTGTGAAAATGTCTTTTAATTTGAAAATTGATATCCAATCATTTTAACACTATAAAAGATTGTGACCTTTGTACTTCCATCAAATTATAAATTTTTTTAAGACAAGCTACTAGTGCAAATTTTTAACTAGGGTGGATTGCACAAAACTCACCCTTATTAAATTTGGGCATTTCTCAGATAAGCCCCTTAACTCTTAAAATGTCAAAAAAAAAACGCCTAACTTTTTGGGTTCACATAAAACCCCCTTGAACTTTCACCATTTTTTAAAAACCTAAAGCCATGAACCACAATTTTCATTGACGAATATCGTAATTACCCACCCATGTTGTGGTCAAAGCCGTCAAGGAGTTTTTTAAAAAATGTTGAAAGTTGATGGGGGTTTCATGAGAACCCCAAAACTTAAGGGGGACTTTGCGTCATTTTGAAAATTAAGGGGGATAATCTGAGAAGTGCCCAAACTTAAGGGGGGTTCCTGAAATTTACCCTTTCAACTATTTAGAACTGCCATGCCTCAGGATTCTGAACATAAAAAATTGTTCTGTGTGTACAGGAAACAATCTAGTAGCTCAATTTAACTAACTTCTGAACGTTCTTAGTATAGAACTGTAAATACATTGAAGAAACAAACATTAACTTAAATGTATCTGATTGGCGACTTACTGTTGAGGTAGAGTGTGCTTGATAAAAGCAGTGACAACTGGAGCCAGAAGAGGCTTAAAGTGGAAGTTCTACACATAAAAGAAGGTATTGGAGGTCCACCATAGCAAGATGACAACTGTGGTTTACTCCAATAAAAATTTACATGATGCTAAAATCATTCATATGCTCAGAGAAGGAAGCTGGGGACTTAATTTGGAATAGGAAAGCAAGTATAGGAGTATGAACCAGGGATTTCATTTTCAGATTGGTGAATGACGATAGCAAGGGTCAAGTAAGTTGTTATATTTGTTGTCTCGTGTCTAAAACTAATATAAGAGTCATTAAACAAATTGTCACCCGAAAGTGGCAGCCAATAGAGCTAGGTTCCAACCAACCCTCAGGCACAGATTGCTTCCTATGTGGCATTTGGGGCTCCCAGAAATGACCAGAGGAGATGGCAGATGGTACGACTGCAACTTCGAAAGCACTTACAACAGGAAGGAAAATCGAATAACTAATAACAACGATGAAGAAAACAATTGAAACAAAGGTGGAAGTAAAAACATCTAACGACTGAATTAAAATCAGGAAAATGTTTTTCCATGTTAACTGTGATTGTTCCTTAATAATTATTTCAGACTTAACAACTTCTTTATTTTCAAAATTTCTATTTATGATCTTTTAGTGTAAGCTATCTTTAGTCCTGCCTGTGCCTAGGGTCTAGGCTCCCCCACGTTTCTGACCTAGAATATCCACTTTCTGAGAGTAAACAATGGTATCGTTCCTGCCTAGAATATCCACTTTCTGAGAGTAAACAATGGTATCGTTCCTGCTAAACATTGCCGGGAAGTAGGATGACTAGGCAAAATAAAGTAAGAACAAGAGATGACAGAAAAGAGATAACAACATGAACTAAACAAATCAAGTATCATGTTCCTCTCTTTTACTGCAAGAGAAAAGCTGAATACCACAGAGAGAGAAAGAACCAGGAAGACTTAATTTTCAAACAAGATTACTATTTGGAAGCAGAAATTCTTATCTCCAGATGAAACTCATATAATCTGGCGGAAGGTTAACATATAAACTTATAACAATTATACATGTAACCAATTAATAACAGTAATTACAATTTCATATCCTTCAAAAGGTGGCATAATCAATTAGTATATAGGAGAATAAAATGCATCTGCAAAATTAAAAATTTAAAGTGAACTCTAACCTCTCTTTTGTCGGAACCAAAAGAGAATGATGAAAGCAGCAATCCCACAAATAGCAAAGGAGTAATGTAATTATACAATTGCTTCATGAAATTCTCCGGATCATCCGCACTTGAATCTTCTGGAGATAAAAACAACTTCAAGATTAACTAAAACAATATACAGAGAATTGAACAATTTCAATATCTGGAATATGGATAGCATAATACTGAAAAGTGACATGAATCCAGATGTTTCATAGAATATGTTTGTTCCAAACCCAAAGTTCCTGTCACAAAAAGTATGCTTTCAACTTTCAAACCAAACCTTTAGATCCTCACCTTCCATTATGGTGCAATCATGTTACATTGGTAACCCCGCAGCTTTCCTGATTGCCACAATTAACTGTGTTTTTCCAGCATTATTGTTCAGAAGAATTTGCAACATTCAAGTTGAGGTATTTTGCATACTTTATTGGTATGTGTAAAAGTAGACAATAACAATAAACAATACAGGGAATGACTTTTGCTTTTGACTTGCTACAATCTACATATCCAATCTCCCATCTAGTTGTTGAATGCTATTTTTAGCCCAATCAAAAACTTCAGATTCAGTCCAACTAAGAAACCATAAATGACTATCAGAGTTGGCCATATGCACCCAGCAATCTTATAATCTGACCCTGAAATTTAAGAGGTCACACAAGGTGCCCGGTTGAATTGCCATTATTTTTAAAATTGCTAATTGTTTGCTTACTACTTGGCCTTTAAAGTATGCTATAAATTTCGTAAAGCCAACCCAAGTTGGAATAAATGGATAGGATGTAGAATAATGGTGAAAAGTTTAGAAGGGGATACGGATACAGCTGAAACTTATCAGCTTTTGATGTGGATACAATAGATATATGATCAACATCCAATTACCACTAAGCAGAAATATAAATTTTCATTTTTATGACCGATGCTACATGTATGTGGGGCTATGTTACCTGGGTACTTCTAATCTGAAGTCGTACCCATACCAGCCATGTACCTGCACCTGTATCCAAGCTCCTTGGACACCCCTTGCATAAATGCATACATTTATTTGGACATGTACTCAATTATAAAATACATGTTTTAATTTAAAACACTTGTCATACATTTTTTTGGACATATCCTATACCACACCCACTTCTAGAAACTCCTCGAATAAAGGTTAGTTTCCGAATTATGAATTTAAAGGGTCGTTTGGATGCCTAGTTCAAAAACTAGTGATTTTCCAATTTATAATCCTATAATAAAAGAAACATAAAACTGTTACAAGACTTAATTCTCATCCATGTTCTCATATAAATTATTAATCCCAACATGTGTGTGTGTTGTATTGTGTGTTGTGCGCGCGCGCGAGTACATGCGTGCGTATGCGTGTGCGTGTGCGTGTGCATATATATTTATATAGCCATGTTCCCATACCCTTCCTTTTACAAATTTGTCATGTCCTGTACTCACACCCGTACTGGCACGCATACCTGTACCCATGCAACATAGACGTGAGGTAATTCCTCCGCATAGTATCTCCAGGTTGCCTAATGTGCGACAGGTTAGTGAAGATAGTAGTGAAGACATACAGCGACTACAAAAATATATAAATCAACCAATGCTTGTATGCCTTGCAGCCTGCAATAGCTTGAGGCGAAAAGTTCAGTGCGTTAGATAGATCTAGACATATTCTTTTAGCTTATTACATCAAATAAATATCATAAAAACGTACTAAAAGATGACATAGACCAGAAAATCAAACAAATTTGGCAATATTAATTTAGTAACATAGTATCTATTACAATTTGCATCTTGTAAATCAAATCAACTTGGTTGTGGTTAAGAATCTTAGTAATACAATATATTGCGGCTTGACGGAGACTATGAATCTTCATAATTTTTCTTCAACACCGCCACTCTATAAATTGAAACTCATAATGTTGCTATCATTTTCCCTCTTACACTACAGCTAGCCCACAAAACATTCTACCAATGTTGTCAATGTGCGAAGCGCAATGCGGGGCGCAAAGCATCTTTACGCACACATGCGCAAGGCACAACGCGATGCGCGCACCCGAGTGATGCGAGGCGCACACCGCATACATAATTTTTCATGATACAAAATCATGCACGAAAGAACATGTTTAGGAATTCACATAAATATATATCATGATAAATAATATTTTACTACAAAATCACAATATAAGGTCTTAATTTCTAATGCTAATACCCAACATAGTAGCAAAATTCATAAATTTTCACAACAAATGTCAAATCAAGACTAATATCCAAGCAAAGGATTAGTTATGGTCCTCAATTGAAGGCCACTAAAAAGGCCAAATGGATTTATTTTGCTTTTTGGGATATGGATTATCGAGTATAAAGACTCAATTGAAATGTTAACAAACAAAACTATATGAAGGTATGTATTACATGCATCCTGCGCAAAATTAGGATGTAGGCGAGGCGCAAAAGGCGCTGCTGCATCAAATGCGGGGCGCATTAGAAAACACTGCATGGGTACAGGTATGCTTTTGAAAACACTGCATTCTACATGAGCTACCAGCAACTAAAAAGAACTATAACAAAACATTCTGATACTTTATTGCTAAAACATTTACTTACTCCAACTCCCACTCGCCTTAGAATCTTCAAAGGCTAGATTGTTACTCTCTGCAATAGGTTCCAGAAAGATAAATCATTCTAAATATAAATATCACTTCAGTTGTAGCCATTAGATTTCTCCCTGTAAGATCCACTTGGTTGTGTTTATTCTACTCTCAAAGACAAGTACCCCATGAAGCTGAAACAATTATAGAACACAACTCAACACTTCAACATGAAGTTTTTACATGTAGTAAAAGTGAAGATGGGTTTAATTAGAGAATAGAAGAAAGAACGAGAAAATTGTTTAAACGTTTGAAGGAACTGTCGAGTTATGGCTAGATACATCATCCATCTATAGTCAAGAAAAAACTTTTTTCAAAAGAGCTTTATAGAGCATGTACTTAAGATAAACTGAGCAAGGGTGTGCTTGCCTTCATGACACCCAGGCCTCGACCACAAAAACCTCTAGTTTCCTCAAGGGTATTGACGTCCAGTTGCTTGCTATCCCATGAAACTCATGCTTTCATGAATCTTCCTTAAAAGCAAGTTTAAGCTCCATAATTTTGTATGCAATCACTGGTCAAATAAAAAATCTATTTTCCAACGAGAACAAGAGAAACAGCTTTCAAGTTTCAGCATTAGGACCCTAAAAATATTTTCTCACCCTTGAGATTGCTGACAACTTTTGAAAGCCATAGACATTGGTTTCATGGGATTCGTGCAGACGCACATCTTACATTAGATAACTGATTCGTCTTTCAATAAAAGTAGTTGTTGATTTTATCCGAGGACAATCACAATGCAATACTAATTGAGAGGCCAATAGGCCATTCATTTCTTCAGTAAGATCACTTTTGCATATCAAATTATATAACACTGGAGCAGAAATTATGCGAGTTCCCCATAGTATTGAGTCTCAACTAACGTGCTCTGCAGTTGAGTCTGTATAATGGTTATTCATTGACCATTTTCATGATTGTCAGGAATAAACAGAGGAGGGAATGCATCGTCTCGCTGCTCAACTATTTCCTTCAGTAGGGCTGACCTCAACTATCAATAGAACCATCTAGTATTAATATATTCTGCATGAAAGAACACCTTAATAACTTTTTTTCCTTTCTGTCCAAAGCTGACCTATTGCAATGTCAATCTCTTGTATTTCTTCATATCAATAGTAAAAGTGTAAAACTGACTGATATGCAAATGAGAGCCTGTCCAAAAGGATCTAATGAAGTGAGTGAACCTTTTCATCCTAGTTTACATCAACTTTCCTTTTTAACAACTGTCAAATTCACTATGTTGTCAGGCCAATCATCAAAACTTCCTATGAAGTTGCAGAAAGAGGTTTCCACTATCTTCACTTAGGTAACCTAGTGATTCTCTTACATGATAGTAACAATCAGCATATCATGAGCTTCAAATTTATGTCATCTTTCCTGCTTTCTTGCATTTTCCTTGCAATGTATTTGGATGGGAGGTAGAGAAGGGTAGGGGCAGAGAAGTATACATAAAAACTTTGGGAGTTCTATTGGGAGGGTAAATAAGGGAAAGGAATGAGAAGTATACATAAAAACTTCTATAAAGTTCTCAATGAATGAGACATCTTGACCCTCTATCATAATGAATCGATGACTAAGTTTTAATCACTTCCCTTACTTCCCTTAATTAGAACTCCCAAGCAAGATCAGTGTTATCGACGCGTGAGGCGCAATGTGGGGCGCAAAGTTCCTTTTCGCGCACATACGCAAGGCGCATCGCGATGCACAAGACCAACTAAAATGAGGCGCACACCGCACTCACAATTTAATGAATGATGCAAAAAAGTACTCGCCTTAAAAGACTGCTTTATATCATTATAGAATCACTCAAAGGATAAAATACCCAATTGGAAAATAACAATACCTTTCGATCCTGATTTCTGATTCTCACTCCCTTTTGGTATTTCCTTCTTATCTTTCGGATAATAGTTCTCATAATCTACAAAAACAGAGCTCAGTTGGATAAATCATCACTTCAGACCCTCAAATATCGAACTCCAAATTCCACAACTTACTTTTTCTATTTGGCGATTCGCTCGAAAACAAACGCCTGAACCCAGGATTCGCAAGCAACAATCTCCAGTTCTCAAGATGGACCTTCGATGATCCAACGCCCTTATTCGCTCCAATCGAAGTCAAATACCCCTTAACAAACCCTAGCTCCCCAAATCGCGGCGAATGCCCAACAGTCTCGCTCGATCTCGAGCCATACCCACCCAAAACAGCCCCCTGGCTCGAAAAAAACACCAATTTAGACATGGAAAAAATCTGGGGATAAAAAATCCAGAAAATTTGAAGAAATCTTACGTTACGGAGTCCAGAGCGGGCGGATCGAGAGAGGGAGCGGGCGAGCTTGGAGAAGATCATGACTATTGAATAGTTTTAGTTTCGCATGAAATCGCGAACCCTGAAAAGGGCCTCTATTTGTGATTTCTAGGGTTTCGTTTTGGTTCGTGGAGAGCGAATAAATCGTATCAGGGAGGCGAGAGGGGGAAAAACGAAGCGGGCAGTGAGAAACTATTCACGGCGATGCATAGCAAATCTGATTGTGTCTACGTGGCCTTATATCCGCCGCTGGATTGACAATGGTTAACAATGGGCTTCAGATTTTCCCATTTTTTTTACTGGGCCAACGGATAATCCTTAGCTTCGGCCTGTCCCATAAAGGTGTTTGTATGGTAGTTTTGTTGAAAAACAAAGTCATGACTTTTCTACGGGGCCCTTTGTTTCTTGGGGATCACGTATTATATGGGCGAAAGATACATGGAAGTTTCATAGGCACATATTAATCTCCAATCAAAGATATTTTGCTTCTTAGCAACTTAATTACATATTGCAACCCTAAGATTCTCAATAATCCAAATAACTATCTAGTGCCAAGTCTCAAGTCCATGGCATTTGTTAAAAAATTGAAATGATGTTTAAGAATCAATTTCCTATAATCTAAATATGGATTAAAATGTGTTTTATTTCAAATAAAATTTAAACATGGAAATATTACGTTGATTGGATTAGCTACATCGAATCTAACATGGAACAAAAATTTTGAATGGTTTACTTTTCACCAACTTTAAAATTTGATATTGTGAAGTCTAAATTTGTCTCAATATCCATTAGAAACTCATTACCTACGGGTTAGACTTTTTTTCCCTTTTTTTTTACCTACATTTCATGGAAAACAGGCATTTGTACGTTGAGAAGGTGAAGAAATAGGCTAGTTCATGGGGAATTTTTTTATTTTTGTCTTTTTGTGGCTTTTGGCTTTCATGATAAAATATTTATATCAAAATTGTAATGGGTAAGATAGCCATTTAATTGGTCAAATCAAGCTTGTTTAGATGAGATTATAAGGTAGGGAACCTCAACTTTTATAAGGGCCTGTTTGTTTCGCTTAAAAAACAAGGAAAGTGAAGGAAAGTAAAGAAAAGTAAACATATTTTCCATGATTTGATGTTTTATTGTGTTTGGTTCACTTCTTAGAAGTAAAAAGGAGATGAGAGAAAATGAGTTGTCACCATATTATTGGATGATGTGAGTGATTTTTAAAGATATTTTTATTTAGAGGTTCTTTTCTTGTGTTTGGTTAGCTAAAAAAATAAGGGAAAGTGTTTTCTTGTGTTTGGTTCATTCTTAAAACTAAGAAAATAAATGAGATGAAAGTGTTTTCTTGTGTTTGGTTCATTCTTAAAACTAAGAAAATAAATGAGATGAGATGAGTTGTCATTATATTATTGGATGATGTGACGCATATTTCTTAAAACTAAGAAAATAAATGAGATGAGATGAGTTGTCATTATATTATTGGATGATGTGACGCATATTATTTTCCATCAAATTCCTTGTTTTTTTGGAGTAAAGTGAAGGAAGGAAAAATTAGAGGAGATGTGATGAGTTGTCATCATATTATTGGATGATATGAGTAATTTTTAAAGATGATAGAAAATGAAGGAAAATAGGGTGAGTTGAGTTGGATGAGTTGATTGATGTGACTCATTTTTTTTGTTTAGTTTGTTTTTAAAAATAAGAAATAAGATGAGATGAGATGAGTTGTCATAATATTATTGGTTGATGTGGGAGATTTGTAAGGGTGGAAAGTGGGGAAAGTGAAGAAAACACAAAAAAATGAGGGAAAGTGGGGGATGGAAAGTGGGGGAAACGAAACAAACAGGCCCTAAATGAAAATTTAAATGCTAGCTAGCCACCATTTACCAAACATGCAAACATGAAAAAACTATCTTAAAAGCAATTAGATTAAAACTAGGAAAAGAATTCTGCAAAGTACCAACTCAGTTTTTTTTCAAGAAGAAACATATAACAGTGTTTGATGAAAACTTTTTTAACATGCTTATTAAAATTGATTTTTTTAAAAAAATGGTGCTTTTAGAAGCATTTTTTGCTACCCAAACAAAAAACATACAAGCATAGTCCTATCAAACACATCGACTACTTTTTAAGCAGTTTTTGTTAGCATTTTCTTAAGGAAAAGGCAATTGTGAATAGTCCCACATTGGAAGTTGAAGAGAAGTTCTGTTAGCATTTTCTTAAGGAAAAGGCAATTGTGAATAGTCCCACATTGGAAGTTGAAGAGAAGTTCAAGTGGTTTATAATGGTTCACTTCCTAATGGGCTTTGAGTAATGTTTTGGGCCTACTAGTGTTTGTGCTCTTTCTCCACACGCCACGCCTCGCCTCGCCACGCCACGCCTCGCCACGACACGACACGACGCGCGCGCCACGCCACGCCGCACCGCACTCGGGTTTTGCTTCTCCAGCTTTTATTTTTTGTAACGGCAGCATTTATTATGTAACGGCAGCATTTATTATGTAACGGCAGCGTGATTTACGCCCAACGGACGAGGAGATTCAGCATCGGTTACTGGTTCATGAGGCTATATAAGGAGGCAGAGTTCATTCGGGAAAACACACAGAAATTCACAAAGAATTTCATAGCTCCCTCTTCCTCCTTCTGCTACTCTTAGTACTCAAAGATTTTCGGCTACATATTTTGAGGATTATTTTTGGGCAATCATCTTCATCTGAGCAGAAGCTCTGCTACTCGCGCCCGAGTAGAGAGGTCGGCCGTTTCCGGGGGGCTTTTACCGCTAGGGGGGAGGATCAACTACGCCAGGGCGACAGGCGGGTCCTCTATCTTCTAGGGCAGTGTATCACGACTGCACCCCGTTCAGGCCTGATTTTTCATAACTCATTTATTTTCAGTTAAACTAATATTGTTTATTGATAGCAATCTAGAAGATAGATAATTTATTGCTGTTAATTTAAATCTGAAAATAAATATATATTAAAAAAAAAAAATTTGTTACTGTTCACCCGAATTTCATATTTGTTTAACTGTTTTAATTTGTTAACCTTTTGCATCTAAGTAGTTAACAAATTATTTTACTGCAATAGAACTGAATTTTATATCTGTCAATTTTCATATTCAGTATCTGTCATAAAAAAAAAAAAATAAAATAAAAAATAAAAAAAAAATCTTTAAGTGAACCGGTTCAAGTTTTCTTGGATTAGTTGGTGTCTAAGGAAAGGTTTAAGGGTTGCGTAAAGCGCTCTGCAAGAAACGAGGTACTTAATCGATCATTGATCAACCTCTAGTACTATCCTTACCTGGCCAAACTACCCGAGTAAAACTTTAATCTTTTCACTTTTAGAGTTTTTGGTTAAGAGCAGGTTTAATTAAGTTTCTGGTCTAGTAGTATTAATAAAATTCTTACCCTGTTCAGATTTCAACTACCTAGACTAGTAAAACTCAAATTGGACTTATGGCAATTGATCATTCAAAAAGTGTCAAACCTGAGAAGTTCACCGGTATCAACTATAAACGGTGGGCTAATCAGATGAGATACTGGCTCACTACCTTAGGTCTCTTATCAGCCATTGACTTTCCTGAGTCTTCTACTAGTGGTACTCAACCTTTGACTCCTGATCCTGAACAGTCTGTTCCTTCCACTTCTGGTTCAGGTGCTAGCTCTCTTTCTAGCTCTATGAAACCAGAAGATATTAATTATCATTGTTGTCATAGAATTCTTAGTGCACTTGCAGACAACCTTTATGACATATACTATGAGTTCAAAAGTGCAAAAGACCTATGGCAAGCTCTTGAAGCAGAATATGGCTATGATGATGCCGGAATTCTGCGTTTCACCTCTTCGTCCTTCAATAAGTTCATGATGGTAGATGACAAGCCCATTAATGAACAAATTCATGAATTTTTAGATTTCATCCGTCATCTCCAATCAAAAGGAAACACTTTTACTGATGACTATAAAGTTTCCTGTTTGATTGATAAACTCCCTCCTTCCTGGTCTAGATTTGCTGGAGATCTCCGACACAAGCAAGGAGATCTAACCTTAACTGAGGCCCTCAAGGCCATTCGTATTGAAGACCAGCATAGGCTGAATTCCAAAACCAAGAATGAATCAAAAGCTAAAGTAAACTTGGTAGAGGAAAAGCCTAAATCTAGAAATTTCAAACCCAAATGGAAGAAATTCAAGAAAAACCAACAATCTTTCAATAAATCTTCCTTCAAAACAAATTCTTCCAATTCCAATTCTTCCAGCCATAAGTCTGATGGAAAGTTCTGCTTTGTCTGTGGTAGAACCAACCACATTTCTTCCAACTGTTTCTTTCGGAAGAAGGAACCGGCTAAACCTGCCTCTAAAGGAAATGGATCAAATAAAGTTAATATGATTGAAGAGAATCCAACCTCCTTCAGGTTAGCCCCATCACCTCATCTTGTAAATTCTCTAACTTCTTCCACTGATTGGTATCTGGATTCCGGAGCAAATATACACGTCTGTAATGATCGCTCTTGGTTTTCAAATTATCAGGAATCACGTGGAGGAAGCATAAGCTTAGCAGATGACTCCACTAAACCAATAATAGGAAGTGGAAGTATAAAGCTCACTATGACTTCTGGGAAAGCCCTACATCTGCAAGGCGTCTACCTTGTTCCTTCTCTCCGTCGAAATTTGATTAGTGAATCTCTTCTTCTTAGAACTGGTTATAGGATTGTAAAAGAATCCAACAGATTTGTGATTACAAAGAGTAATAATTTTATAGGAAAAGGTTTTATCTGTAATGGCCTTTTCAAACTCAATGTAATCAATTCCAGTTCTAATGAAAATTCTAAGTCTCCTGTTATTCAAATTGTTGAATCTTGTGATGTCTGGCATGGACGACTTGGACATGTCAATTTTCAAACTTTACAGAAAATGATCAATTTGAATCTTATTCCTAAATCATCTATTGACCTCTCATCCAAGTGTGAGATTTGTGTTCAAGGGAAACACACAAAAAAACCCTTCAAGTCTATAACTAGAAACTCTGAGCCCCTCGAATTAATTCATAGTGATGTGTGTGACTCGAATCGAGTTCTCACCCGAGGGGGTAGGAGATATTTTGTGACCTTTATAGACGATCACTCCAGATATTGTTTCACATATCTTCTCAGGACTAAAGATGAAGTCCTAGATAGGTTTAAGGTCTATAAAGCTGAGTCTGAGAACCAATTAGACAGGAAGATCAAGATCCTAAGATCTGATCGTGGGGGGGAGTATACCTCAAATTATATGACTGAATTTTGCCAAGAACACGGTATTATTCATGAGGTTACTGCTCCCTATACACCACAGTCTAACGGGGTAGCTGAACGAAAAAACAGAACCCTAATGGACATGGTAAACTGTATGTTACTCAGTTCAGGAGCACCTGAAAATCTCTGGGGTGAAGCTCTTCTCTCTGCTTGTTTTATTCTCAATAGGATTCCCCAAAGAAATTCCAATACAACTCCTTATGAATATTGGAAGGGGAGATCTCCTAATCTAAACTTCTTCCGAGTTTGGGGTTGCTTGGCTAAGGTAGCTATTCCCGAACCTAAGAAGAGGAAAATTGGTTCCAAAACTATTGATGCTGCTTTCATTGGATATGCACTAGATAGCAATGTTAATAGATTTCTAGTCATTAACTCTGAAATCAGTGACATATCCAACAACACTATCATTGAAGCTAGAGATGCAGTCTTCTTTGAAAATATCTTTCCTTTCAAATCCAAAATCTCAGAAAATTCTAGAACATCTATTCCTTCTGATCTTCCATCATCTAGTTCTTCCCAACCTTTTGACATTGAGCCTCGAAGAAGCAAAAGAGGTAGAATTCAAAAGGATTTTGGAGAAGACTTCTTTACCTTTCTTGTTGAAGGTGATCCAAGCTCATTTCAAGAAGCAATGGATTCACCTGAATCTCCTTTCTGGAAAGAAGCCATTGATAATGAGATTAAATCTATCATGGAAAACCATACTTGGATACTCACTGACCTACCTCCAGGCTGTAATCCTGTTGGCTGTAAGTGGATATTCAAAAAGAAACTTAGAGCTGATGGTTCCATAGATAAATTTAAAGCTAGATTAGTAGCTAAAGGCTATACTCAGAAAAAGGGCATTGATTACTTTGATACCTATTCTCCTGTAGCCCGAATTTCTACTATCAGAATTCTTTTAGCCTTTGCTGCTATCCACAAACTGATCATACATCAGATGGATGTCAAGACTGCTTTCCTGAATGGTGATCTAGATGAAGAAATTTATATGCACCAACCTGAAGGCTTCATTACCAAGGGTCAGGAAAACAAAGTCTGTAAACTTGTTAAATCTCTGTATGGTCTTAAACAAGCTCCTAAACAATGGCACCAGAAATTTAACAAAGTCATTGCACAATATGGATTCACGGTGAATGAACACGACAAATGTGTTTATTCAAAAGTGATAAACAATGACTATGTTATCCTATGTCTCTATGTTGATGATATCCTTATCTTTGGAACTACTCTTGAACTAATCTTAAAAGTTAAGGATTATCTCTCCAAAAATTTTGACATGAAAGACTTAGGTCTTGCCGATATGATACTTGGAATGAAAATCACTAGAGACACTAGAGGAATATCCTTGAGTCTTTCTCACAGTATTGAGAAAATGCTGATCAAATTCAACTTTCATAACTTTAAATCTGTTTCCACACCATATGATTCTTCTATACCTTTGAAGAAAAATGAAGGTGAACCTGTCTCTCAATTGAAATATTCCCAAATGATTGGATCCCTTTTATACATATCAAACCGGACTAGACCCGATATAGCTTATGCTGTAGGGAGATTGAGTCGGTATACCAGTAACCCTAACCCAGATCATTGGTCTGCCTTAGAAAGAGTATTTAAATACTTAAAAGGGACAGTTGACTATTGCTTAACTTACACTGGATACCCTGATGCCATTGAAGGGTATAGTGACGCCAATTGGGTCACAGATTCCAACAGTGTAAAGTCAACATCTGGGTATGTATTTCTTTTTGGTGGTGCTGCTGTATCCTGGAAATCATGTAAGCAAACAGTAATTGCCAGGAGCACCATGGAATCTGAATTGATTGCACTTGATACTACTTGCTCAGAAGCCGAATGGTTAAAAGATCTTATCTCTGAACTTCCTTTGGTCCCTAAACCTTTTCCTCCAATTTCCATTCATTCTGATTCTAGATCTACCATAGAGCTTCTAAAGCAAGTACATGTAAATAAAAAACTCAACAGACATATTCAAATAAGATATAAGTCTGTACAACGCCTGTTAGGCAAAGTTGTGATCTTGGATTTTGTAAAGTCTGAGAAAAATATTGCTGACCCTTTGACTAAGGGATTATCCAGGAGTGTAGTCCTGGATTCATCGAGGGAGATGGGGTTAAGTCCATTAAAGAGGTCACTGACAGTGGGAACCCAACCCTTATTTGGAGACGTTGTCCCAATGTCGGTTCAATGTGGTAGAAACAAGCTGGACTAGTGATACTCGGGTGGAGCATCGACCCATATATATATTCATATATCATTATGTAGTGTGAGCTACTACCCCTTCTCTATGATGACGATGCTCCTATGATACAGCTGGTTAGGCTGAGTTTTACTCTTAATAAGTCCAACGCATGTATTATTGGGGGGTATTAAATAAACAGCTGTAGTACCCTTTGAGGACTTACCTACGTGAGAGGAATCGTGATGGCCGCGGTTGGGGGGGGCTGGACTAAACTAACCCCTAGAAACTCTCATGAGTCGGTTATTGTGAGCATGGCCTTTTAACGCTCAACCCGCTTTGCTCAATAGATGAAGTGTATTGTGTGTGTTTTTGTCAATACCTGATTCAAGGGCCCTAATTCAAGGCTTAGTCCATTATGTCCCTCAGGTGGCGACAAACTCACTAAGGAAAGGTTCAAAGCCGGAAGCTACCTTTCCCGAATTCACGATACAAAAGGTTGCCCAACCTATATATATATATATATATGTTTTACTAATTGTTTTGTCAATATTGCCTTTTGGGGGGGACTGTTAGCATTTTCTTAAGGAAAAGGCAATTGTGAATAGTCCCACATTGGAAGTTGAAGAGAAGTTCAAGTGGTTTATAATGGTTCACTTCCTAATGGGCTTTGAGTAATGTTTTGGGCCTACTAGTGTTTGTGCTCTTTCTCCACACACGCGCGCGCGCACGCACGCCACGCCTCGCCTCGCCACGCCACGCCTCGCCGCATTTATTATGTAACGGCAGCATTTATTATGTAACGGCAGCGTGATTTACGCCCAACGGACGAGGAGATTCAGCATCGGTTACTGGTTCATGAGGCTATATAAGGAGGCAGAGTTCATTCGGGAAAACACACAGAAATTCACAAAGAATTTCATAGCTCCCTCTTCCTCCTTCTGCTACTCTTAGTACTCAAAGATTTTCGGCTACATATTTTGAGGATTATTTTTGGGCAATCATCTTCATCTGAGCAGAAGCTCTGCTACTCGCGCCCGAGTAGAGAGGCCGGCCGTTTCCGGGGGGCTTTTACCGCTAGGGGGGAGGATCAACTACGCCAGGGCGACAGGCGGGTCCTCTATCTTCTAGGGCAGTGTATCACGACTGCACCCCGTTCAGGCCTGATTTTTCATAACTCATTTATTTTCAGTTAAACTAATATTGTTTATTGATAGCAGTTTTTGATATGCAATTACCAAAAAGCTATTTTCAGCGGCTTATATAATTTGTTTCCATACGCCGCTTTGATGAGCAACACAATATAAGCTCCAACAATGCCAACCGCTCCTAAAACTAGGTTTGACGAAGCAAACAACTATTCTACCAATACTAGTTTTATAAAGTTCCTATTTGACATCTAGCTAAAATAATGGCTAGCACTTCTCTTTTATCGAAACACACAGTCCACCAGTTGTATCTTACCGAGAGAGTGTTTGGCGAGGCTTATTTTTTAGTCAAACTAGCTTTTAAAGCTAGTTTTTTTATTTCTATCTGTTTGGTAAAATGCCTAATAAGTTAGCTTATAAGTCTACACCAGTTTTTAAAAAAGTAACTTATAAACTCATTTTAAAAAGCTAGATTTGACCAAATAAATTATTATTCTACTAAAATAAAATTTTATAGTATTTTTATCAAAAAAGAAAGCTAAAAACTATAAAAACCGAGCATAACTTAAAAAACTTTAAAAAAAAGCTAAAAACTACTGAAATCGACTTGTCAGTTCCTATTTAACATTGCTTGAAAAGTTTGTCAAATCCGGCCCAAAAAGACTGGGCCGAGCAAAGAACACGACGGCAAATGCGCTCACATCAACCCCCCAAACCGGAAATTAATCCTCAAAAATCCCCGAAGCCCTCCGCCCCACTCTTTCTCAATGTCAACAGCCACCCTCTTCCTCTCCTCACCCCCTCCATTCTCTCCCCATTCTCAAAACCCCCCCTTCTCCGTTCGGACCCAACATCAAACACCTCGCCTGCACTCCCCTCAACTCCCTCCCCAGCCTGACCGAACCCTTGTCCTCTCGCAATCTCCCCCAAATCACCCCTCTCTCGATCTGCAAGTGGTCACTGATCGTCTCCCTCTCGATCTCTCTCGCCAAAAGGACAGTCTCCACTGTCCTCAGCCCCTTCTTCTGGACCTACTTCAGCTTCACTTGGGTCTTCTGGCCTTACATTTTAGCGGTCGCTCTGGCGGTCTTCGGCGTCTACTCCTTTTATCGCCATTCGCAAAACCAATCTTCAGTCCTTCAGCAGTTGGCCATTGTCACCTCTACAATCACTTGGCTGACCCTTGTCCCTCCTGCCCATTTCAATGGCTTCCTCGAAGGCTGGCCGATTGCCCTCTTCTTTGTGTACCACTACTTCTTCTTCTTTGAGTCTTCGGTCAGGAAGAGGTTGTATGGGGACCTTTACCCTCGTGCCCACGACGCCAAATGGGATGTTAAGCTCCCCAGAGTGTTCCAATTTGCGTTCTTCGGGCTTGTTCTGGTGGGTCATTTCCTTGCGGCTTATGAAGGGCCGGAATTGCACTTGATTTTGGGGGGGTGGGCGAATTTGGGGACTTGGGCTTTGGTTATGATGACATTGTTTATGAGGTATCACTCGGTGTTGTACTTGGCCAAGTATTCGGAAAAGGTGGTGGTCCCGACTGCGGTTGTGCAGTTCGGACCCTACCGGTGGGTGAGGCACCCAATTTATGCATCGACCATGCTGCTGTTTGCTCTGCATTGTATCACGTTGCGGGCTCCGTTGAGCTTGGGGTTCATTGTTGCGGTGTGTGTTTGGTATTACGGGAGGAAGGCGGAGTTGGAGGAGGAGCTGTTGCTGGAGAGTTTTGGGGAGAGGTATAAAGAGTACATGGCCAAGGTCAGGTATAGATTGATCCCTCTGTTGTATTGATTAGCATTGATATGCATGTAAGCTAGTGTTCATGTTTTTTATGTTGAGGAATTAAAGTTTTGCTGTGAGAGAGATGGCGTTTGTTAGCATGATTTTGGGTTTTGAGTTTGACTGCTTGGAGAATGTACATCATGACGGTTTGAAGTTTATGTTATTTATTGTACTCTTGAGTGCGATTGGATACTAATTTAGGTATTTAATATATAAACCCTTTACTTGCTTACAATGTATATTCATATCCTTTTTGTTGCATCAGAACATATGAAGCATGAGTTACAGGGACAGGAATATGTTTTTTGTTATTATTAGAACAAATGCATCATGGCATGTAGGATAATAGCATTTAACTCTATGAAAGATGAATGTTTATGAAGAGAGATATGTTGATGACAAGTTATAGAAAAATGATCTGGACCCAGTACCCACTGCTCTAACTGATGGATTACCTAGATACCTTTGCTTTTTTGGACCTTTCTCACATTTTCAAACCATAACATGTGAGATCTGATTAGCGTTGACCCGTAACTCACGAAAACGATCATCAAGCCTTGTTCAACAATTTTTAACTTTGCAGTCATTGCTATTAACTATTACAATTTGTCGTTGTTTCTTTCTCTCTTCCACTACCACAACCACTTCAAATTTATCAAATAGTTCATTGCAAATGCTACCAATCTTGAAAATTTCCAGAAAGTTTCAACTGTAATTGGTTGTCTTTTTATTTGTTTAGAATGATGTTATCTGTCAATATTTATCCTCTATTTGTGAAAGTTAAAGCTCTGCCTCGTCCACAAAAAATATTTTAAGTTATTGCATATTCTCTTGACTTTCTCATTTTAGGGTGTGTCTAGTTAGAGGGTGTTGGAACTACAAATATAGTTGCAATATCATGGATGTGTTTGGATTGATGTAGTTGGAAGACCATGTTGTTCCTACTACATCTATGAGTGTTTGGTTGGATGTAGTTGCAACAAAAAATGTAGTTACAGCAACCAACTATGCTAAAAATATGAAGGTGTTGCATCCGCACTTAAATTTTAGAGTGTTGTAACAACGTTTGAGTTGTAACTACATGTTGACTCAACATTTGAGTTGCAACTACGGGCGTGTTTGGTTAGAGGACCTTGTAATGATAATTGTAGTTGTAGTATCCACAAGTAAAAAAGATGGGAACAGATCTGATTTAATTTGAAACTTTTAATTCATACAACCCTGTAAATCGGGTAACCTTATAAATTTAAAGAACATTTCCCCAATTCTAAGGTAAAGTGATATTAAATCATATGCAAGTATAGGGAAAGGTAAATGAACATCTCTTATCTACATAAGCTGATATGATTTGATTGTGAAATAAATACTTGTTGTTAGTGGATGATTGGGGAAGCTTAGCGACCTACTTAAAGGAGAAAGAGAAAATCATCTTTGATTGGGTTCAATGTTATGTATTTGGCTGCATACATTCACGAGAAGATTTTGTATAAGTAATGGGAGACATGACGACACTTCTGTTTTCATGTTATTATAAATTTGAAAAGATTCCGGGTTGGTGTCAGGGTGAAAATAACTAGAAGAGAAATGGTGTGCTAGAATTGATATAAAATTTAGAAACTAACAAAACCATCATTAACAGTTGATGGATATTTTATGAAATTGAAGATTGCATCCTCGTCAAGTTACTATGCTGTCATTAGCTATCCAATATATGAATTTACATGAACTGCGAACCACCAAAGAGCTCTAGAGGGTTAGGAATAAGATTTAGAAGAGGAATATACGACTAATTGCTCTTCAATGAACCACATGATGTTATATTCTTTGCTCTTGTTGTTGGCTTGTGGCACTTAAAGTTTTGGGTTTAAATTTATCTCTATGCCATTTACGGATTGTGAATCTATAGTGAAGAGAATATGGAATTACCAGTTTTAATATGGCTTTGATTTCATAGATTTCGGTGGGGACTTGATTTTTTATAACAACATTTGGGATTCAATGTGATATTCAATAAAGGGAAGGTCACAGTACAGCACCACCATGAGTGATCGAGTTGGTTGTTTTAGATAAATGATGGAGACCTAATTGGATTGTCTAGTTTGTTCCGTGTCTGATAGCAGAGATACATATAAAATGTGGGTCTGAGTATGAAGCAGAAATTTTCTATTCACATGCAATGACCAGTTTCTAAGAAGTTCCCGCACTTCTCAGGTTGTGATGGCATAAGTCAAGATGTTAAAGGGGAGATAGAAGATTTATTTGATTTGCTTCTCCTTTCTTTTTTTCTTATAGAAGAAGAATGAAACCAATTTAGTCCTCACACTGATTTCATAGCTTGAAGAAAATTAAAAATCATTTTACAGGATAAAATATCTCAGATTATGTCCTAGTAGAAAATCTAAAAACATTCATCATAGGCTGTTGTGGAGGCTGTCAATCTTCTAGTATCTTTAAATTCTCTGCAAAATATGTCACGGTCAATAAAGTGATCATGTGATCAATCTTTTTATAGTGATAATGAACAATAATATTCATGTACTAAGCATACTATAAATAGAAACAATAAGGGTGCAATGCAAGATTTCATATATTTCCAATCAACAAAATCAGTTATGAAGGAGTTGGTTTAGCTTGAATGTAGCTCCTTAGTTTGAAACGGTTTAATAGGCAATCAAATATATGTTCACCATATACGTTGTTGTCACAGTGCCTGGACACAGATTTCAAGTAGAGGATGAACGAACTAGATGCAAGTGGATTATCAGAGTAATATAGTTAGGATTATAGTGGTTTATGTTTCACATGAAATAAAAGGTTGATTTAGATTTTCAACCCTAAATTACCTGTCCAGTGATTGCTACTTGCTTGCAGCTCACGACTATCTCCCTTGATCATATGAAAACTATGAGCAACTGCAAGTAGAATTTGTGTACATGTTGAATAAGTGGTGAAACGTGATGTAGTAATTACCACATGGAACTGAATTTGCAAAAATATCTACATACTTAAATTAGAGAGATTGTTTAATTTTGTTAAGACAGTTGATAAATTAAAAATTTCGCCATGTTTGATCATTTAACTAGTTTATAAGTGGTATTTCAATAGGCTAAATAGCAGTTGATATGACTAGCCTATTGTGGTTATAAACACACGGTTAAGGTTATGGTTATATATTAGGGAAACATACTGAAACTTCACTTGTTAAAACCTGCTCAGTAGTTTTTCATCTGGGCTTGCGCTTGAACCTGGTGGGGGAAATAGAACTTTCGAGCTTTGGTTGAGAATAGATAAGAGTTGGTGAACATCTTTGTTAAGATTATGGTTAAGTCAAACAGATCTTTGGCATGAATTCTGCCTGCTTACACTTGTTTATTTGAGACAAACCAAGGGCAAATTTGAGATTAAAGAATGGTTCGGGTCTTACACTGTATCCCAATATACATTTAGGATCCTATATTGGGTTTTA